TTCAACTGCACACAGATCATTCTCCAAAATAGACCACATTCTATCTCATAGAACATGTTTAAATAAATGCAAAGGAGCTTAAGTTATCCCATGTTTACTGTAAGACTATAATGCAATTAAACTGGATATCAATAGCAAAGAACCTTAAGTAAGAACTTCATAAACACATGGAAATTGAATAACACTCACCTGAACAACCAATGGGTTACAGAGGAAATTAAGAAATTAGAAGGGGAGGAGGGGGTGAAGGGAGGGCAGGGACAAGGGGAAAAAATGAGAACCAATACCTATCATGTAAAGGTACAAGATCCCAATAATGAATGTAACTATACTATATACCTATAATGTACCAATAAACTCAATTTAAAAATTATAAAATAAAAAAAGAAATTAGACAGTTTTTACAAGAAAAAAATGATAATGCCAATACAATATACAGTAATCTATGGGACACAATGAAAACAGTTTTACGAGGGAAATTTATAGCAGTGAATGCCCACACCAGGAACACAGAGCAAGCTCAAATAAACAACCTAATGCTGAACCTTAAACTTCTAGAAAAAGAAGAGCAAGACAAACTGAAAGCTTGTACCAGGGAGGAAATTATAAAGATCAGAGCAGAAATCAATGCAAAGGAAACAAAGAAAATGATATAAAAAAATCAATGAATCAAAGAGTTAGTTGTTCAAAAGAATAAATAAAATCAATAAGCCCTTAGCCAACCTTATCAAAAAAAAGGAAAGAAAAGGCTCAGATCCATGCAATTAGGAATGAAAAAGGTGAAGTCACAACAGATCCAGCAGAAATCCAGAGGATCATCAGTACCTACTTCGAAAACTTGTACTGTAATAAAATGGAAAACACAGAAGAAATGCACAGATTTCTAGAAACATCATTTACCAAAGTCGAAGAAGATATAAAAATTCTAAACACCCCAAATACAATCAGTGAAACTAAAAAATGTAATTAAAAATTTACCAAAAGCTGGGAATTTAGCTTAGTAGTTCCACTGCTTGCCTTGCAAGCACAAGTTCCTGTGTTTGATCCCCAATACCCCACCACCACAATTTACCAACAAAGAAAATCCCAAGTTCTGATAGATTCACTGACTGAATTCTACAAAACATTTATAGAACTACTACCGCCACTACTCTTTAAGCTTTTCAATGAAATTGAAAGGGAAGCAATACTTCCAAATTCATTCCTGGAAGCAAATATTACTGTGATTCCAGAAACAGGGAAAGACCCAACCAAGAAGGAGAAATACAGGTTAATCTCCCTAATGATGCAAAAATCCTCAGTAAGATACTGGCAAACAGAATACAGAGAGTCATCAGGAACATCATACACCCTGACCAAGTTGGATTTATCCCAGGGATGCAAGGATGGTTCAACATAAGTAATTCAATGAATGTAATACTCTATATTAACCTAGTCAAGGACAAAAACCATATGATCATCTCTATAGATGCAGACAAAGCATTGAACAAAATTCAAATCCCATTCATGATGAAAACCCTGCAGAAAATTGGAACAGATGGTCTTTATCTAAGTTGATAAATGCTATCTATGAAAAACCAACAGCCAATATCATACTAAATGGTCAAAAACTGAAAACCTTCACACTAAAATCAGGACAAGGAGGTTCACTGTCACCACTCCTTTTCAATATAGATCTGGAAACATTAGCCAAAGCAATTAGCAAGAGCAAGAAATAAAAGCAATAAAGATTGGAGAGGAAGAAGTGAAACTGTCATTATTTGCTGATGATATGGTACTTTATATAGAAGACACAAATACTCCACCAAAAGACTTCTAGACTTAATTGACAGATTCAGTCAAGTAGCTGGTTACAAGGTAAACATTCAAAAATCAATTGCCCTTTTGTATACAAACAGACTCATTGAGAGAGAAATTAGGGAAACAAATACTTTCACAATAATATCCAGAAAATGAAATATCCTGGCATTAATCTAAAAAGGAAACAAAATACCTCTACATTGAGAACTGCAACACTCTGAAAAAAACAGATTGAAGAGGATATAAGAAAATGGAAATGGCAGGGGATTTAGCTCAGTTGTTCTGCTGCCTACCTTGCAAGCACAAGGACACGAGTTCAATCCCTGGTACCAAAAACAAAAAACAAAACAAAACAAAAAAAAGAAAATGGAAAGATATCCCTTTTTCCTAGGTAGGAAGACCCAGTAGAGTGAAAATAACCATACTTCCAAAACTACTGTACAGATTCAATGCAACCCCAATTGAAATTCCAACAGTATATTTCACAGAACTAAAGAAAACAATATAAAAATTCATTTCGAACCAGAAGAGACCTAGAATAGCAAAAGCCATACTAGGCAATAGAGACATGGTAGGGGATAATACAATCCCCAACTGGAAACTATATACAAAGCCACTGTAATAAAAACAGCATGGTACTGGCAAAGAAACAGACCCAAAGATCAAGGGAAAAGATTAATAGATGCAGAAACAACTCCAGACATACTCAGATAGCTTGTCTTTGACAAAGGAGCCAACCGTCCTCCCTGGAGGAAAGATAACCTCTTTAATAAATGGTGTTGGAAAACTGGATTTTACCTTGCCAAAGATTAAAACTAGACCCATATCTTTCACCACGCACTAAAATAAAATCAAAGTGGATTAAAGATGTAAATATTAAAACAGAAACAGTAAACTTGTTGGAAGATAAACTAGGTAGAACTCTTGCCAATGAAGACAATGGCATAGGAAAAGACTTTGTGAACAAATCCTCAGTAGCACAGGAACTAGCACAAAGAATCAACAACTGGGATCTCACCTTTTTAAAAAGCTTCTGCACTGCAAGAGCAACTACCAGTGGAGCTAATAGACAACCTAAAATTTGGGAAAGGATTTTTACCAGCTGTTCCTCAGACAAAGATCTACTACCTAGAATATATAAAGAACTCAAAAAACTCCATCCCCCTAAATATAATGATCCAATTCAAAAATGGGCATCTGAAATGAAGACTATCTTTCCTCTCTCAAATGGAGAAGTAAAAGCAGCAAATAAATATATGAAAAAATATTCAATGTCACTGGTTATTTGGGAGATGAAGATGAAAGCAACATTGAGATTCCACCTCATTCCTGAAAGAATGGATGCTATGAAGAAATCAACCAATAACAAATGCTGGCAGGGCTGTGGGGAGAAAGGAACCCTTCTCCATTGTTGATGGGAATGGTGCAGACAGGTACAACCATTGTGTTAATCAATAGCTAGATACCTTACACAACTAGGATTAGAAGTCCTATTTGACCCAGCTATTTCCCTGCTATGTATCTTCCCAAAAGAATGAAAAGAATCACACCATAGTGATATATGTGCACCCATGTTTATAGTGGCACAGTTTGTAATAGCTAAAACTTGGATACAGCCTAATTGCCCATCCACTGGAGACTGAATAAAGAAGATGTGGGGTTTTTAATATATATAAAATGGAATACTAGTCACCCATAAAGAATGAGAAACTAGATACATGTACACCTAAGTGGATGTACATACTCTCCAGTGAAATTAATAGGACACACGTGTAAATACCACATCGTTTCTTTGGTGTGAAAAACCAAACGTGTAAATAAGGGTCAAAATGTATATTTTGTAATAGGAAGAAAAGGTCTAAATGTATAGGGCAATTGGGATGGGTTGGGAAAAGGTAAAAAGGGAAGAGACAAGCTAAGAGAAAAGGAAATAAATGGAAACAAAGTTTTTGTAAATAGGAAAGTTTGGAGGGGGAAAGGGAGACTAGAGAATGGGGAGAAAATGAGAACCAAGACCTGTCATGTAAAGGTACAAGATCCCAGTGATGAATGGAACTGTAGTGTATATGTAAAATGTACCAAGAAAAAATATTTTTTAAAACACAGCCCTCTAATATTTGAGAGAACTCATTCTACCACCAGAGTGTGTGCAGTCAATGCAATCACATTTTTATTATATCCAGGATCAAAAGATTGTGTAGAAGCCGAAATATGGTGTAATTAGAAGCTGAAAGCCCAGCTAACAAATGTAAAATAATTTTAGGGAAATTTGAAGCGTTATTTGGCACAGATCAGTATCGTACAGAGCGTGTCAAATAAAATAGCATCTCAATATGTTCACAATGTGTTTTCTAAAAGGTGAAGAGGTTAATTGTGTAGTAAAAGAGATTTCCAAAAGAATGAATCATCCATTTTCAGTGAAATCGCAATTTTCTATGGCAAGGGCCATATTACAGAACTTTACAGATTAGCAAGTAATTGATCAAACATTTAGAAATAGTTTTCCCTAATTTTTTGTCAACAGAACAGTATATATAAATAGATGTAGTACTCCTAATTAAATTTAATAAATTAAAATTATTGTTGTGAAGTACTATTTTTCTTCATGTTTGAAATCAATAAATTTTTGGTATTTGAAATTTGTTAGCAGATTCTTAGGATTAAATTTCACATATAATTCCCCAGCCACTTGGAGGTAATGAATGTTTGTTTTTTTAAGAAGTTATCAGAAAAAAATGAGAATTACTGATTTTTATTCATCCTAACAATATTCACTTCTCAAGTTAAGAGCTGAATACATCTTGATTGCCAGTCATGGGAATAGGTGGAAATTTTTATTAGTATATATAAGTGAGTTTAGTTACCTTTCTCATAAATCCCATAGGTTTTGTTTCCACTGAAAGGTTATGTTTTTAAATACATTCATCTTTCAAAGGAATAGAATGCCTAGTGAAGATTAATAGATTCCACATAATGACTAACATCAGCAAATTTTCCCTCTCACCTTCTCTACAAAGGATGCATCATCCCTTAGCTAAAGAAAACACCAAAATGATTTATAACGTTTAAAGGTATTCATAACAGAGAAAACATTAACAAGTGTTTGTTAAGAAAGGGAGATAACTTAGCTTGTTTGAGCTGCCATAACAAAATCCCATAGACCGAGGTGGATTAAACAACAGAAATTTATTTTTGCGCAGTCCTGGTGCCTGGGAAAGTCCAAGCTCAAGGTTCTGGCCGATTCAGTTCCTGGGGAAGTGTCTGTTCCAGCAGCTTGCTCTCAGCAGCTTTCTGTCTGTATCCTTGACTAGTAAAAACAGAGAAAGAACAAACTTTTAATAATGGAACTAATCCCTTTCACCAGCTTATCACCAGTTTTGATTGCATTTTTGGAAAAACTGAAAGGCACAGGTGAGTGCTTAGAAAAATCAGTCACCCATTCTGTTGATCAAATATAAAATTTACAGCCCTGCACATATGAATGAAAAGTTTGTGTGCCCTAATCTTTCCATCTTGAAGTCCCATCCTCACTACCATTTGGTTGAACAATGGGACCTGTGTGTGCATGAGGGGGATAGTCAGGGTTAGAATGAGGCTCAATTTAATGTCATCTGTTCAGTGTTTGTGTCCTCATACTATGTAATAAGAATACTTGGTATTTATAAATGTCTGTAGAAAAGTGAAAGATTAATAGAAGATTTTGGTAAAACTGCAAATGGCTCTATTCAAAACTCGACACAAACACTATACTATTTTAAAAGGCAGAATGTGATGAACTAATTCACAGCCATGAAAAATAGTCTCATCACACAAGCAGTAGAACAAAATGAGGGAAAAATAACACTAAATATTAAGTTTCTTTTATGATTCTCTTTTTGCTAGTGTATAATTGCTACCAGAGAAATCTCAAGTCAAAGCAGCAGAACCTGTAAAGTATTGGTTCATGTAGCCAAAATGTTCTGAATTTCTTTTCTATAGAAAACTTGCTTTGGCGGCTTGAATGTGGCTACCAGAACACAGTGGCCTCTTATTCTCCGTTGTGCCTCCTTGGTGTTTACTTTGTTTTTAGCTGCTTTCTGTCCTGTGGCTCCTACATGTGGGATGCATTCTTTCTCACCAGTGTCACATAGAGTAAAGCAAACACCCTTACTGACAGTTCTGTCAGAATTAGAAAACAGCATCTTTTTCAGAATTTCAGGAAATGTTTCCCCTTAATTTCTTGCTTAGCTTTGAAACCTGAGTAACCCTCGCCAAAGGAAGAGGAGATGTAGAAAATTATCTTTAGCCACTGTGTTTTTGCTTCCATGACTGAGGAGTCATTCAGCTTTTATGAAATAGAGGGCCTGTGTGGAGAACGGCAAAAGCCCAACAAAGACAGAGATAGACTTTTATCAAGAGAAAAGTGGAACAGATGCTGGTAAATAGAGATGAAAATAGGATCCTACATCTCCACCTCTCCACTCATAGTCTTGCTTTCAGAATAACAAGCAGAAAAATCATTTGTATAAAGATCAAAGTCTACGAAAGAGAGCCAACTATTCTTATTCTTCTCATCTATGCCCCCATCACTAAATGTGTTTGTTGCAAAAGCTGCCTCCTACCCCATGCAGTGTTCTAATATCCATGGAGAATGACCCCAAAGTTGCTGAATATAGTCATTTTGATAATGTTCTCCATTGGCTAATTCTTAAATAGTATTTTAAAATAAGTAGCCCTCTCTCCAATAGGAGAGCTAGATAAAGATTCAGACAACTCCCTCTACTACTGAAACCATGTTTACCTTCCCAGAGTGAACCACAGGCCTCAATTGCTCAATTTTAGGTTCTCCAGTTTTCTAATTGGACCCCTGAGACATTTAGATGAGTACAAATATAAGTCCACGGGCAAATAAAAATGCAAATAGATGAAAATAGGCCAATTACTACTTTTACCGTAGGATGTTTGTTACTTCATGTTTTTTCTTTGCCAAAATCCTATGTGTCAGAGCTCCACTAAGTAAGAAAGAGCAATTGCATGAGCTGAGACGACATAGGACATCTTGCATTTCTTCCTATGTATTTGCTCTTTGCCTTTCATCAGCCTGGGCTGTACTCTACTGATTAAAATGTATGGACTAACTCTGTTTCCTTGCTTTTCTCATTCCTGGTTGCATTAGGCCGTTTAAAGTTACCAGAAATTACCAGAAGAAGTAAGTATGGAAGTAGAAAGGAATCACATGAGATTTTTTTTCTCCAGCTCCTTTTCCTCTAGTATTTCACCACAAGTTGCCTATCTCCTTTCACATTAACATCTTCCTAGTAAAATTAGTTTGAGGATTGGATTCCTTAAACTATGCACATGCTTCATAATTCACTAACTAAAATTATTTCAACCTGCCTGATGGAATGTATCATCTACTTCCTGAAGGACAACACTGATACCAAGGTCAAATAATATGAGAAAAAATAAATTCTGCTTAGGATAAAAATGGGAGCAGCCTAAGTAGACAATAGATAAGTAAGAAAAATCAAGTTAAATCAGTATTACAGTCCCTAAATCAGGAGGAGTTTAGATGTTGATTTAAAAGAAAAAAAGAATTTGAAAGTGTTTCTTAGAAGTATCAAGGCGTGATTAAAATATCACTGAATGATATTTCTTTTGGTGTTCAAAGTGGACTGGTAATGAAAGGACTGAAACCTTGAGAGAAAATTTAGAAGCTCCAAAGATAATCTGGGTAAGGACCAAAATAAGCTGGAGAAGTAACGATGCTATAGAAGGAAAGGAGGAGAGTACAGGATGCATGGGATGTTCTAATTGTGGAAAATAAGGCACGTGACACTATAGGATCTCTTGTATAATCATAATTTATCATCCAAAGTGACTCCTTTTGAAGTGATTAAAGTTCCACTAATATTTAAGGTGTACACCAAAATTGTCTCCATCAAACAAGTATACCTAGGCTGTGTTGAGACAAAGAAAAGATTTTAAGTCTACTCCCGAATTCTTTAAGAATAGATTGCTTTCTTATGGGGAAGATGAAGTTGTACAATGAAGCCAATTATGTGGGAGGGAGAGAAGCAGTTGAAAAGGTTATTTTTGGACTTACAAGTTCGGCCCATATGGCATTTCATAGTACTGGGTTAAACTGATGGTCATTTTTGAAACGCAAGATGAGAACTATAAATTGAAATCTCAATATAAACAATGAATCCACTCCACCAAGAAAATAATTTCCCTGACTGAAATTCTCTCCCTCTTAACTATTTACATCTGTGAAGTATTTTCTCTACTGCCATCTAAGATCCATAAGGGGTGCCAATTTCTGACTGACATTCATACACTGCTAAATTTAACATAGGATTGGAAATCTAATAGATGCTAATGAACATTTGTGAAGTTAAAGTCTTGTTTTACTTAACCACCTAAAGCGTGCCTCTATTACTACATCCCCATCCAATCATGGTTATGCCAGGCTGGATCCTTCACCTAAACAAATCCTGCTATTACTCAGTACATTTTGTCATGTAGAACTGAAGAAGAGTCTAAGAGTCAGGGTTTGTTCAGAGACTGAACTACGGCAAGATTCCAGAGATGCTTGAAAGAAGCCAGAATGTAAATCAACTGTGCTGCACATAAAAATCTTATGTATTTTCTTAGCAATTGTATGGCAATAGTTTTATTGTGGTGCTGGCTAAATAGAGCTACATATTTAAGTGTTATCTTTTTAAACTTTCTACTCTCTTTATTTTTAGGAGAATTTTTTTGGTATTGGGAAATATTCTTCTTTTTTATTTTACTAAGTTAAATGGAGGAAGTTTTTGTATGCAATATGTTGATACCCCAGGTCAATGGTAGACCTCTGTCTAATGAAAGATGTGATAGCTACTTATTCTCAAGTTTTTAGCAGTTGTTTTCATAAATATACATTTGTTTTTTAAAGAAATGGCCATTTTTCATAAGATCTACTTCCTTGTTCTCTGTCCAATCTCCTCTGTATGCAATAAATACAAAGTATATCTTTACAGTTTCTTTTATTCATCATTTGGCAAAAGTTTACCAAGTGATTGAAATGATGCCAAGTGAAAAGTATGAGGTATAGATTCTGATGGTCAACGGATATAAAAATAGATTAATAAAACATCTTTCTGACTTCACCATTGTAAACTTTTATGATGACTTACTCAAGTGATTTTTTTGCCACAACACTCTATGGCAGAAATGAAACTAAAATGCCGTTGAATCTTAGTTTTGCTCTTGCTCTCTCCTTTTCCTCATATTGAAGACATCTATTTTCAGAGCATGTCAATATTGAATATTCATTAATTTTCAACAAGTCCTGGGTTTTTGCCAGTTTAGATTTAGCTGACGTTCCATTACACTGTTGAGCAGATTTCATGGCTCTCTAATCAAATTAGCTCACTTCTAAACACAAACATTTTTATAAGGCACTTGCCCAAAGCAACTGTGACTTAGCTCCCATCTTATTTTTAAAATAAAAAATTGAACAGCAGGTTATTAAGTTCAGCAGATCACCTGCTGTGTGAAAAGGCAAACACAGAAGAGTCTCAGCCAATCTTCCTATAGCCGTTCTCACACACACTAGAGATCAGAGTTGTTACATTACTAATATTCAAAGTCCCCTGGGTTTCAATTATACTTTTTTTATTATCTTATCTTCTCCACTGTTTGCAATGTCTAGTAATCTACACATTCACTGCTACTACTTTAATGGTTGTGAAGTATCTGCGATGGTGTATTTTGTCATTTAATATTAAGTTTACTATGCAGACCACAGCTAAATTGTGACAGGCCCCATAAAAATGAATCCTAAATGAACCATTACATTGTATGCTGTCAATGTAGACTAAAAAAATACAGTGCACTCCACAAAGCTTGCAGAAAGAGCAGAAAATAGTGAGTGATGTAACTTACAGAAAGGAGCCTACAACCACACATTATGGGTATGACAGGATTTACTGATATTGGAAACAGCCAATCGGAATATAGGGTGAAGATAACTAAGAGAATGCAACAATTAAAATGCAGTCCATAAAGTCATTTTTAATTCTTACAAGACTTGGATTCTGCTTGCTGCAAGTTTAACAAATGAAGAAGAACGGGAGGGACATGCTTGAGCATAAATAAGGCAAAGTGTAACTCATGATGGGAGAGAAACGTAAATCCCAGGCAGTTACTCACAGCCCCTGAGGCTGGGGGTATAATGGTGTGCTCACCATCTTGCCTTTCTTTTCGAGAGTTCTGAAATACAGGACTGCGGGGGGCTCCTACTGGAACCATGGAGAGCAGCAGTAAGTTCTCGGCTGGAACCTGAAAAAAGCACGGGAGGTTTACCTTTCTAGTCTGAATGCCCGGTCTCCACAGGAGTAATAAAAGGACAGATTCAGGAGCTCTGTTCAAAAGTTTTTGAAGTCTCCAAGTACATTTTGTATTTTTAATGAATATGCTGGATGAATCAGATATGTAGCTAGGCATTAAAGCCACTATCTTGCTATTGCAACTTGCCAAACATTAGGGGCCCTGACACCTAATGGTCACTGTGCTGGCGTATCCTTTGTTCCTTTCCATTCCTAACCCAAGGAAAGAAACATCTACTTATCTTCTACCACTCAGCAACTGTTTTCTGTGTACAAGTTAACAATTAAGTCACTAACTATGAAATCTACATTAAATCTTAAGCTCTGTTCCATACAGGATTTTTTCCAAATTATGTATTATCCTGAATGAGAGAAATATACTGTACTGCTGAACAGGGAGTAATTGGTTATTTTTAACATTAATAGTCAAAGCATAGATTTGAGGTTCTTTATAACCTATGGAAATCTAACAATAACCTTTTGTAGAGAACGTAATCATTAATGCCACATCTAAAAAAATTAATCTTGTGGTGACATTTATACAGGGTGATAAAGTTCTATTCCGCAACCTGATATGGTGGGGTTAAACTTAACTGGACTCCAGTTACATAAGGATTTTTCTTTTGCTACAGATTTAGCCCATATTTGAACTTACTGGTTATGTCCAATTGTAGTACTGTACTAATACATGCATGGCTCGTGGCTTTTCATGGATATATTTTAAGCTGAAAATAGTATCAACCTATTTTCCACTTCTAGTTTTATTTAGGGCTAAATGCTAAAAGCTATCTTGTTGTATAAACCCTAAAAATGCTGGGTAAAATAAAAAATAAACAAATTTTAAGGAAGTAAATAGTTTTGATATTTTTGTTCAAAAATTAAAGAATTTAATTAAAAATTAAAGATTTATAAAGTTACCTTGAGGCCTCCACAGTTCTAGGATACTTCCTGTCCCCAGTAATGTAGAATTTGGTGGTTAAAAGTAAAGCCAGAAAACAAAGATAAAAACTTCAAAGCTGAAATATGAGAGATGAATCCTAGCAACTGAATAGGACAGGGACATGGAAAGGGCCAAAATTTGGTATAAAGATGGCCTAGAGACAGTCCAACTTCTAGAAAGGACTCTTAATATAAAGATAAAATGAAACAGAAAAATATTCTGAGAATCTCAAGGCTGAATTCACAATGATATGGATTTGAATTTTTTCTTTCTTGCAAGCAATAAAAAAGCTCATAGTAAAACAAAAAATAAGTTGTTTCTCTGTTGGTAGGCACCAAGATACACTCTGTAAAGATTCATAAACACTGATTCTACACATGATATAAGGACATAAAGCCCAGCTGGATATAAACTCACAACATAGAAAGCACTTTATTAACAGGAGGAGTGAGCAGAACAAATATGTGAGTTAGAAAGCCAAGAAGCCTCCGTATAACTATGGGATTAAAAAATTGGGAAAAAGCATATTCTGTGTGTAGATAAGTATCTTCCAAAGGTGCATTTGTTGAAGAGCTGGTTCTCAGCCCAGGACACCATTACTCAGATGTTGGAACGTCTCAGAGGTGGAGCCTAGTAGGAAATGCTGAGGTCATTGAGAACACACCCCCAGACAGGACCGTGAGAAGTGAGCCCTTTCCCCTTCTCTCTGGGCCTTTAATGAATACTTTTATTCCACCACACACTCTGACCGTGATGTGTTTGTCCAAAGCAACAAAGACAACAAATTATAGACTGAGGGAAAAAGTTTTTAGGTTTTTGGAATAGTAATGAAAAGCTAACTAACACAGGAAAACAGTACCCAGAAGTGGAATCTGCAAATACTATATACCTGATGATATGAAGAGCCTTAAGAATTGATGTGCAGGAGGAGGTAGGAAATGTTTGAAGGAGTGGGCTAAAGAAACCCTACAGAGCTTTAGTGGAGCCTAACTGATTCTGGTAGGGCTCAGAAAACAAGAATGCCAATGGAATCTTGGATAGTGGGCGCTATACTCATAATGTGTCAGATGGAAACAAGGATACTATTGCAAATTGGACTAGTGGCTGTCCTTGTTACACCATAGTGAAAAATTCAAATGCATTTCTCCCCCTGCACTGAGACTTTGTAGCAAGCTAAGCTTGAAGGTGATAGACCAGATTAACTGAGGAAGGAAATTTCAAGGTAACACAGAGAATAAACCACAAGTATTACTGATTTCTTTAAGCCAAATTTATAGTGCAAATCAGCAGCAACAAATGAAAGATCAGAAAATTTTTTTTAAACTTGCCGTTTGGCCAGAAGAGTTGCTTGAGTAAAGTTCTGATGAAAGAAAATACTGATATAGAGGCTGATAGCAACAAAAGAGCAAGAATTTTGCAATGGGATAAAAGGAAGGAAGCCTTAAGGATATCCCAGAGATTAGCAAGTCCACAGCTAACACAGGCATACAGATACAGAGATGCAAATTATTTCCACAATTTCCAGAGCTGAGTACTTTAAAACGGACACCGAGTCACCCTACACCTCCTAAACCACCATGTTTCTCCATGTCCAGTCAACCAGGCACTGAAAAACCACTATGATCGAGGTTTAGAGAGGTGCAAGTACAGGACACGTACTGGTGGCACATTTTGGTATGGACAATGCTTTTGGTTTTGTAGAGATACAGAATGCGAGACTTGTGAGATCATAGAGACAATCAGTGAGGTTCCAAGGGAAAGCTGAAGAGGCCAGGTCACGTGGAGCAAGATCAGAATCCCCATAAGTCCTCTGTGGGTCAATACGAGGAACTGTGAAAGTGAAGCCAAAGCTGTAATGGAGACCCAGAAAGGTAGAGGTGCCAGGAACATGGAATGCCGGGTGATGGATTCAACAAGGCATGAGAAACTTTCCAGAGAGAGAGAGGCTGTGTGAGTTGCAACAAGCAAAACTGTAGGCAGGGAGCTGCTTAAGCTACTGAGAGCTCATAGCGTGTCACACTATGCCTTACGTGCTGGACATGGAGTTATAAAATTTAATGTTTGTCCCTGTGGGCTTCAGTTTTGCTTTGGTTTGATTACTATTGCTATTTAACTCTTCCTCTCCTTCAGACTTGGAAAGTTTATCTTATCCCTGACCTACTGCTGTTTTCTTGAAAATATCCAACTTCATTTTTGTTTTTACAGGGATTCATAGCTGAGTTGCCTTGAGTCTCAGAAGAGACTTTGGAGTTCAACCTTTGAGCAACACTGGAACAGTTAACACAATGGAAATTCTGGGAGATTGTGCATTGGAAGTAATCACATTTTGAATTGTGAGAAGTGGGGCCGGACAGTTGGGCTCGGGGTCGAATATTATGGTTTATATAATTTTTTCCCAAAGGCCCATGTGTTAAAAGGCTTATTTTCCAGACTATGGCACTATGGGGAGGTAATAGAGTAAGTGGTGGAGGTTTTGTGGGTGACCTTTGGGTCACAGAGTACATGGTCAAAGGATATGGAGGGACACAACCTCCGCTTCTTCCTTTTCACTTTCCAGTCATCAGGTGAATGATTTCCCTCTTACTTCTGCCATGATGTGCTTGCTGCCTGACCCAAATAACATGGACAACTGCTCATGGACTGAAATGTCTAAAACCGTGGGTCAAAATAAACTTCTTCTTCCTTGTAATTTGAGTTGATTACTTCAGGAATTTTAATAATTTTAATAATGGAAGTTGACTAACACAATACATTTAATTTTTTATTGTTTTATTGGTACGTTTGCAGCACACAAAGTTAAAATTCATCTTGAGGAATAAGTACCTATATACAATGCCAAGTGTTTCTTTTTTTTATCCTGTCCTCCTTCCTAATCACTTCCCTCCCTCTGCCTCTAAATCCCCCTTCCCCATTTTCATTCTTGTCATTATTATTATTATCGGCTCATGTTCGTAACAGGTAATGTTTACATTCATTGTGGTTATTAGCTTCTTGTATGTAGTATACCTTAATTCTTCTAACTTTCTCTTCCTCTTCCCCTCTCCCCTCTCCCTCAGTATCCTGCACCGCTTTCTATTTGCAAGAGATCTATCTTCTTGTTTCCCTCTATACATCCTTTATTTGGCTTTTTGTTTGTACTTTGCCTAACTCAAAGGAGATATAGCATGTGGTATTTAAGGTTGTGTTCCGATTTATTTCACTAAACATTACATTTTCCAGGCATATTCATTTTCCTACTTTAAATGACTTGAATCTATACTCCTTTATAGTTGAATAGTAAGTGTTCCATTTTGTAGAGCTACCACATTTTCTTTATCCATTTGTCTGTTGATGGAGACATAGGCTGCTTCCAGGTTTAACTATTATAAATTGTGCTGCCACAACATCAGTGTGTATGTAATATGATGTTTTTAGGTCTTTGGGAAGGTATCTAGAAGGATATAGCAAAATCCCCAGACATACTCAGATGGTTGACAAAGGAGACAAAAAACATATGCTGGAAAAAAGATATAACGGTGTTCAACAAAAGATGCTTGGAAAACTGGCTATTTGCTTGCAGAAGTTTGAAGCTGGATCCATATCTTTCACCAAGTAGTAAACTGAAATAAAAATGAATAAAAAATAAAAGAAACATTGAACCTACAGGAAGATAAAATAAGTAAAAAACTTGAAGTGCTTCGTAGTGCTAGGTATAGACAAGTTATTTTCTAAATGGAACTCAAGTTGCATAAGAAATAACAGCAAGAATAAACAAATGGGATTACATCAAATTAAAAAGCTTCTGTACAGCAAAGAAATCAATATTGGAGTGAAGAAACAGCCCACGGAATGGGAAAATATTTTGTTACCTATTACTCAGAAGACTAACATCTAGAACATACAGAGTTCAAAAAACAGACCACCTGACATAAAAGACCTAACCAGGAAATGAGTGGGTGGGGATTTATCTCTGTGGTGCCGCACTTGCCTCATAAACACAAGGCCTTGAGTTTGATCCCAGTCACTAAAAAAAGAAAGGAGGAAAGAAAGAAAGACAGACAGAAAGAGAGAGAGAGAGAGAAGGAAGGAAGGAAGGAAGTGAAATGAAGTGAACAGACACTTCTCCAAAGAAGTTCAAATGGTCAGCAAATATTTGAAAAAAAAAAAAAGTTCAACATCTCTGGCCATTACACAAATGCAAATTAAAACAATTCCAAGATTTCATTTTATTCCAGAAAGAGTTGCAATTATAAACAAGTGAAAGAATAATAAATGCTGGCATGGAGGTGGTGAAAAAAGAAACTTTCCAGTATTGTAAGTGGTAATACAACCTAGTATGACCATTATGGAAATCAGCACGAAGACTTTCAAAGAAATAAATTACAAATCTATCTGATGTGGCTCTCCCCCTTCTAGGAATCTCCCCAAAGAGCTAAATTTATTATTAAAGAATTAAGTTAGATCAGAGACAAGAAAGATGTTTCTCTCTCTCTCTCTCTTTCTTTTTTTTGGCGGGGGGGCTCGAGTATTGGTGAAGGAATGCAGGGCATTTGCACTGATTTATACCTGCAGCCTTTCTACGTTCTTGTTTTGAGACAAGTCTCACTAAGTTGTTATGTTGCCTAGACTGGGCTCAAACTTGTGGTCCTCTTGCTTCAGCCTCCCCAGAAATTTTTTTTTCAATAATCGCATAGAGTCTGTTCGTAAGAGCTATAAAATTTATAGGTCCATATCTATGCACCCACCACCCAATAACATGGGTCTTTGTGTGACCTTTAAAAATAAAAATTCTTTTCTCTTCCCTATAAATAATCACTGTGTTCACTTATGGAATAGTTAGTTCCCTCATCTTATTCACTTTTCTAACATTACCTTTTCTACTATCTAATATTTATATACATAGGATTTCATTTTATTTGTTTTGTGTTTTTTCCTTTTATTATCCAAAATTATTATTTTAAAACCCCATTTATGTTCAAAACTATAGCTGTAATCAACTCATTTTTATTATTTTATACTAACTCATGGTATACATGTGTCCCAATCAACCTGTTAATTCTAGTATTGATGAACTCAAACAGAATTTTTGGACTGAAAAGAAAATATTAAAAGTATATGTTTGGGATATTATTAAATCATTAAAATTATTATTATATAGCTGACAACAGCATTAAACAGGAGATTTGATATGTAAAAATAAAGAAGTGTTAAACTGGAAGATAGATTAACTATAGAAAAAAAGAGCAAAGAAACTTGGTAAAAATTACAAACCCAACAGGATAGAATGAAAAGATAATAATTAAATAAATAGTAAGAAAGAAAAGAAATAGTGGGAAAGATATAAGGACATTTTAGTTTTCCATAAATTTAAAAAAGAAGTGAACATTTAGACCAGAATGCATAAGCCTCAAGCAGGATAAAACTTAACCCATCTAAAATATGTTCTAGTAAAATGAGAAAAAAAAGTCAAAAAGGCATATAAAAATAGATGTAAAACAGACCGCCTGAGGGAAATACAAATTAGAATGGTGCTTAGCAAAAATTTAAGACAAAAATGATATAATGATATATTTTCTTAGAAAAAAATCATAATTCTAAAGTCCATTACATTATCATTTAAAAACAAAGGTAAATAAAAGTATTTTCAGAAAACCAAACAAGAATCAAACTTCACAACAGAAATTTACAAGTAGAAATTGAAAAAAAAATTTAAAAACTAAGAAATGCCGGGTGTGGTGGCGCATGCCTGGAATTCCAGCACTTGGGAGGCTGAGGCAGGAGGATCACTGCGAGTTCCATACCAGCCTGGGCTACATAGTGAGTTCCAGGTCAGTCTCAACTACGTAGTGAGACCCTGTCTCAAAAAACAAACAAACAAAATAATAAAAATAATAATAATAATAATAATAATAATAATAATAATAATAATTTAAAAACAAAAAAGTATCCCTAAAAGAATATATCAATGAAAAGAACGAATGTCAACAAAGACATTGTTTTATGTATTCATTTAATATAAATACTCATACATTATGTAAAATAATATCAAAGTTTGTTGGATGAAACAAAGAAAAACTAGGTTAACATCCTACCCAAGGCTAAATACATGTGTTATGTGGGTGTATGGTCAGAATTCAAAAGTTCCTTAATCTTTTATTGTGCAGGAAGAGTAGACTTAAGCTTTAAGTTGAATTTGTTTAAATTATAAAAATACATATTCCAAACTGAAGTTGTTTTAAGAAAGAATAATAACAAAAATAGCAGCAGCAGTAACAGCAGCTATAATTAGTGTAATCCCAAGAAGGCAGGAGGTGAGCAAAAGGACCCAAAAAAGCATAGGAGCAGATTCATATAAAAATAATTTAAAATATAACAGAAGTCACAATAAAAGTAAGTTGACTCAAGTTAAGCACTAATAAACAAAGATGTTCGAGTTGGAATTAAAAAGGAAAAATTCATCTTTATGTTATTTATGAGTTACTCCTAAAAACATCGCACATTTCCAAGTGAAATTATGAAAATGTTATATCAGAAAACAGTAAACAAAAGACAGTTGGGAGAGCACAGCTTCAGGAAGAATAGTGAATCCCAGTGCATAATGAAAATCATACATCCATCAGGAGCCAAACAGTTCTAAAGTTACCTGGGGTACTAAACCTAGGCTCAGAATATGTCAAGCCAAAGGTGACTGCATATGAGAAAAACTTAATGGACTCAGTCTCAATAAGATAATTTTACACTCTTCTAGTAATAAGTATTTGAAACAATAGAAATGAGTAACAATATAAAAGATTTGACATAATTAGCCTCATACAATAGACACATAGAACTCTAGAAAATTAGCACATTCTGAAAATTGACAATTTAGTTATATATGGTGGCATGCAGACCATGATTTTTATCACAACAGAAAAACAGAAAAATGTTAGAGGCAAGGAATACTTTTGAATATTTTAAGACATTTTTCTCAATATCTATAGTCAATCAATAATCATACAGAAAACTTGAAGATATTTAAAAGCCAATTACAAGTAAAATATTATAAATGGAAACTTGTTGGATTGGGCAAAAGTAGAATTTAAAAGGCACAATGACTATAAACTTCCATTAGAAGAAGAACAGGAAAAAAAAACTTAATTAAATATCTCCCTTAAGCCTTCTTTTACATTGTATCACAAATTCATCTTTACCTGTAAGTATATTTCCATTTTATAATTTCACACTTTTATCTACACTCAATTTATGTTCAAATTATTTTCTGTGGATCCAAAATGTTTATGAAGAGATTTGTCACATCTTTGCTCTAAACCACATGGCCCACCTCTTCCTCAGTTCTACAGTCTAAGCATTTTAC